GTGTTTTTTTTTTTTTTTTATTTGTTTCCTTGTTGCCCTTTTGGACTGGTTTACCATCATTCATCTATATTATAGGATCACCGTCACCAATTTCAAAATAATTTCCTTCTCCGAGAAGTCAACTTCACCACCAATCCATTTAACGGACACTAGGAGACGAGATCCTGAACTGCTCACCGGGTCTGTGATCAATATTTGTCAGCTGATTCTTTTTCTTTACTCCCAGCCATGGAGAAGAACAGCAGACAAAAGCAACCTGTTGTTTTGTGTACTTACTGCAAACCTGCTGTTCCCGCCGTGAAATCCTGCCTGCAATGCGAGCAATCCATGTGCAGTAAACACTTGAAGCAACACAACACGACGGTGGACCACGTCCTGGTGGAACCCATCAGATCCTTTGAGGACAGAAAATGCTCCCTACACAAGGAAGTCCTGAAGTATTACTGCTGTCGGGATAATATCAGCGTCTGTGCGTCCTGCTCGGTGACTGGAAGCCACAAGGGCCACCAGGTGGTGCTTCTGAACGAGGCCTCAGACAAGAAGAAAGAAAAACTGAAGACGATAGCCAAAGATCTCAAGTTTGACAGCTGGAAGCTTGAGAAGAGGCTGGAGAAGCTCCAAAACCACCGGAAAGACGAGAAAGGGAAAGTAGCTGCCCTCAACAAGAGAGTCAGGGACCTGTTTAAGGAAATCAGAGATAAAGTAAACGCCTTAGAGATGCGAGTTCTGGCTGAGATTTTGAGACAAGATGATCACATCTCATTGACCATCTCGGATCTAATCCGGCAACTGGAACTACAAAAGGACAAGATGTCCAACGCGATTGCTCGGACCAAGGAGCTGCTCAGCGCGTCTGATCCGTTATCTGTGATCAAAGAAAAAGTCGAGAGTTCTGACATCATCAAAATCAGTGATGACATCGGTGACGTAAGAGAAGCTGGATGTCTGGACGAGGGAATCGTCTCCCAGATGTTGCACAAGGGAATTCTCCAGCTCAACATCAGCTTTATGGACCTGAAGAAAATGAGACAATTCGGGGCCATCGGGAACTCCCACGTGTTGCTGGATCCAAACTCCGCTGGTAATAACGTGATCATCTCGGAGGACCTCACGCGGGCCTCCTACGCCGTGGAAGCCATAAAACGGCCAGACTTGCCGGAGCGGTTCAAGTGCAGCCAGGTGTTGAGTAGATGCCAGTTCACAACGGGGAGACATTACTGGGAGGTGGCTGTGGGGGAAGCCAGGAAGTGGTTAGTTGGATTGGCCGCTGCCAGTATAGAGAGGAAGAAAAACGGAAACGAATCGTATTTCGGATGTAATAACAAGTCTTGGGGCCTCTCCTTTAATAAGCAGCTGTCGGCCGGCCATGACAACATGTACGTGGACGTCCCCACGGACGGGCCTATAAAGTCCGTCGGGATGTATCTGGATTATGAGGCCGGACACCTGACCTTCTTCCAGCTGTCTGATCCCATAAAATGTCTGCACACCTTCGCTGCCACCTTCACCGAGCCTCTGCACGCAGCTTTTATACTGAATGACAATTCATCCATCAGGATCCTCAACTGAAAGCTGTTCCTACAACCGCCCCTTTAAGAGACCCTTCACTTTGCACATGCTCGCCTTTCCTTCACTCCTCCGCTGCTCTCTTCAGGTGTCGGGAGAAAGAAGACAAAGCTCTGTGTAAGCTCCAAACGGACTTGTCAGAGCTTACACCGGGCTGAGGAACCTCTCCACACTCCAGCTGCCAATCACTAGGCCGCAGCATGGTCACATGGGTGCTGGGGATTTCTCTTTGCTCTTGGTTGGTGAAGTGCATGCATGCTAAGTAATGTGCAAGTGTAACTCTTCCAGCAGATCTCCACACTGCAAGGATGAACTGTTTTGGTCTAGGGCAGGGGTAGGCAACCTTGGCTCTCCAGCTGTGCTGAAACTACAAATCCCATCATGCTTCTGCCTCTGGGAGTCATGCCTGTGGCTTGTAATACCTTATGGGATTTGTAGTTTCAGCACAGCTGGAGAGCCGAGGTTGCCGACCCCTGAGCTAGGGGACCACAATGAAGATACTCAACTGATCCTGGAACCTGCGACGGTCAGCACACCCCTCTCTCCCCCTCTACTCTGGAAGTGGTATGTCCCTTGGCATCCTCTTGCCTAATGCAACTGAATGGAGCTTGCATAGCTGTGATGACATCACGGGTCCTTAGACCGCTGGAGCCCAGGGGTGATGAGACTACAGGGAGCGGTCTAGCAGCCAGGCGGGATCAAGGATCGGATGACTATATTTCCTTTATTTGCACCTCTAGACCAAAACGTGTGGTTAACCCTTGCAGTGCCGGGGCAGCTTCTGAAAATCCCGGAACTGTTCTTTAAAGAAAGATAGAGATAAAGCAGAAAGCCTGATGATAAAGTGATTACACTGAGAGGAATTCTCTACCATGCATGCTACGACCTGACCGTCATACAATCTCTGTACAGTCAACTTTAGATCTACACACTATGTAATATGAGGACCTCCCTAGTCTTATCCAATCAGTCTGTATCCAACCAGGCTGGGCTCTTCCGCCACCTAGTTGTTGGTAGATCTGAAGGTGATTGCGCAATCAGACTTGTAATGTGTGGTGAGAACGGGTGTCCCCTTTGGAAGATTTCCCTCACTTCCTGTTCCTGTGACAACTCAAACATGTGGAATTCCCCATCACTTTTTATACAGGAAACAACAGTCACCAAGAGGGTGAATCTCTCCAGAGGCGGCTCAATGACCACCATGTAGAGGGATAAACAAACTCTGGCGTTCTAGCTGTTGTGGAACTACAAGTCCCATAAGGCATTGCAGGACTCTGACAGTCACAGGCATGACTCACAGAGGCAATGATGGGATTTGTAGTCTCACCACAGCCAGAGTGCTGAGGTTGCCTACACCTGCCCTAGGTTGTTGTACTTTGTACTGTTTTATGACATGAGCCTGTCTTGTATTTTTCTTTAATTACTTCCTGCTCGCCATTCCGCTTTGTTAGTCACGTTGTTTATGGTGCCGAAGTGCAAGATTAACCTAGGGAAGTCCCATGGTAACAAAAATCTAAGAATGATTGTTTGGTGGCCCTGTTGGGTTGAAATGCACTTTGCCCATTCAGGGCACAGGGACCATGTCTGG